TGATTGAGTAAGTATTAATTACTTTTCATTTTATCATTCTTTGTGTTCGTTCATTTGGCTCTGGACCAAACACTAATGGATCTCAATTCATGATTAGCTTGACCGAAAACACCTGGCTCGATGGTAAACATGTTGTTTTCGGAAGAGTTGTTGAAGGGTGGGATTTTCTGATGGATTTGAACAGTCTTGGAACAGAGTCAGGAAAACCTACTGCCCGGTGCTACATCGCGGACAGTGGTCAACTATAGATTGTGATTCCGATGTGATCCAAGGTAGATGAGAACAACAACAACAGATGTTGACAATCATCGATGGAACAGGGATGTACTGAAAGATTCTTTTTGTGTCTGTCTGAATTGTAAGAGAAAATAAAGTTTTCATGAACATAATGAAATCAATGAATAGATGATAAGGCTTTAATGATTGAACCAAACTGGAGCCGAAACTGTTATGATGCTGTAAGAAACTTTCTCCGGAAAATTAACTTTTTTTGTTTTTATCGGTTGATACGATATCTTATAGGATTACAAATGACATAACTTCCGTCCAGTTGTAGTCTAGTCGAAGTAGTTTGGAATGAGCGCGAAAGACTGTGTAAGGCTCATTGAGTACTTGACGATCAGTTGGGAGAGGTGGGGTGAGATTGAGTGAGAGGAGGGATGTTTTTCTTTGTTTGGTCATTGATTCGTGAGAGATGATTGTTTGATGATTGATTTGGTAACGTAGAAGTTTGCCTTTTTCATGTTTTCTCATGGAATACTCTTGTATGGTTGTTCTTTGAGTTGGATAGCGAGCTATTGAGAACTTTCTGATCGGGGCCTTTGACGTTTCGAGAGTGGGCAAAGAGTGAAGAAGTTTTTTAGTTTTCCTTTTATAATTTTGAGTCTTCTTTTTTGTCATTCTTGTTGCATAACTGTACTAGGAGAGGTTGTTTGGTCTAACTGCTGTCTTTTTCGCTTTAGTTTAGTAATGACTGCTATTGCTATCAAATGAAATGAATTGTCTCGTTTTGGTTTGAGATCGTGTCAGTGGGCTAGCAGAGTTTTCATTTTTTCTTTTGTTTTTGTGTTAGTAGAAGTGTTTCGTAGAGTTTATTTTGAGTTGCTTTTGATACTAACTACTCGCTCTGTGCTGAGAAATTTGTCATAGTTGAGTATTCTTATTGGTACCCCCTTTTCATCAATTCTTCGTAGTTGACTGTAATGTGAGAAATCCCGTACTCGTCCTTTCGCCTCAAGTTGGAGGAAGAGAATTGAGTTTGAAATCTAACATGGTCTTTCGTTTTGATTCGAGAGTCTGTCACAGCTGTTCGAAATTTTGTTTCCATTTTTTCGGAATTTCGATAAATGTAGATGAAAATATTCTTTGTAAAAATATGAAAAGAAAGTCTTGCAAGACTTGAAAATCTTTGAAATGAATGCTGTGTTGATGGTTTGTGAGGTTAAAAGGGTTCCAAAGAAGAATTCATTTTCTAAATTGTTCCAAATCTTGTATGGAAAATGTGAAAAAGACAAGTAATGAGAGATAGAGAGAGATGGTAAGTAAGGGTAACAAGGGGCCTTCCAAAGAAGGGAGTCGGGTGGGGTCAGACGAATCTGAATTAATAAAGAGGCGAAGCTATGCCCAAATTTTTCATAAAAACTTAGTCGATTTTTCAATAAATAATTATTCTTATATTTCAGGTAGTTCTGCGGGCTTCCTCTCAACCTTCGGTTGAGAATCTGGTAATTTACTTCTCAACCTTCGGTTGAGAATCTTGTCTAGCCGGAGGGGGGGGGGGGGGGGGTTCTCGGCTAGTCTGGTAGACTTTCACCGGGTTCCGATCCCTCCGTCCTTCCCGTCCGGTCCGGCTCTTTTCTCTTTCACCAACTGGCCCCTTATCCCTAGTGTTTGCAGTTTCCAAATATAGGATGGCAGGATTACCGAGAAAAAAAGATTTGTCAAATCCTCCCTGAACCACTCGAAAGCAGTGCACTGGGGAGGACGACCTCCTGTTGAGGAGGTCGATTTTCACTCTCACATCATACTTTCCCATTGGTTTCACTGAACTATCCATCCCTTCTCAACATCTACATCTTCTACAACTTTCACAACTCATATTCCCTGATTTTCAATTTAATTCGGCGAAACTCTCCGGCAACTCAGCTCAAAGGTGGGGCCAGTGCTACCGAGTATTCAGAGCGTCTCACTTTTATAAACTTCCAATCAGACGAACATGAAGAGTGAAAAGCGATAAGAAGACGAATAAGTTTCATAAGAAATAGACAACACAGAGAACCGAATAACACTAAAAACTGCGAGGCGGGTGAAACACTAAAGAAAAAATTCAATTCGGCGAAACTCTCCGGCAACTCAGCTCAAAGATGGGGCTAGTGCTACCGAGTATTAAGCGAGTTTCCATCAGCAACACAAAAAACCTCTCTCAAAAGAACTACGCAAAGAACTCGCGCAAAACTACCGGACTCACCCTGAGAAACTTCAATGCTGCATCCATAACAGGGATAAAGCTTCCTGACTCACTCAAAGAAACGCAAGCGCATACGATATTGGGAAAGAACATGAAAAACTCAAAGGAACTACACAAGGGGCTCACGAGAAGCTATCAATCTCAACATCCAACCTAAGAGGGAGGAATGGAAGCTGATAAGCAGGATTGGGATACTTGGAGGATGTACAAGTTGGACAGAACGAGAAACAGTAATATCGGGATGTGAAAACAGAAGAGATACATGATCAGATATCAGAAATGAAAAAAAAAGAAATCTTAAACAAGCACAGATGACAACGAGAACTCACTAAGAGATTTCAGACTGTTAAGAACTCAGTGAAACTCCTTTGCACAAGTAAATAACCGGGTCCAGAAAAAAATCAAAAACATCAGACGAAAAAAATCCAAAGAGGGTTGCGAGAAAACATTCGAAACAATGACAATAGGATCTCCAAGTAATCAATCGATAACCTGTAAGTTTGAAAAACGAGGGGACAAACACAAAAATCAATGAGTAAAGAGGAAATAAGGTATAGTCAAACTACATGAACAAACTACAAAGTGATTTTGAAGGCGTCAAAGAATGTGAAGAACTGGTGGCAACAAAGTTACAGCATTATCCGGAA